AAAAAAAAAAAAAAAAAGAAGCAATTCTGCCTCAAAACTGTAACACAGAAATCCTGCCTGAAGTTCCATCCTGCTGGCCTGCCCTGCAGATTGCAGACTTGCCAGCCCTTACAATATTGCATGAGCCAATTCCTTAAACACACAGACACAGACACAAACAGACACACAAACCCCCTAATGCTTTCCTTTCTCTGGAGAACCCTGACTACTATACCTGGGAACTTGCTAGAAATGCAAATTCTCAGGCCCTCACCAGGCCAACTGACTCAGACACTCTGGGGTGGGTGGGATGCTTGAACAAGCTTTTCCGGAGATTCTGCCACACCCTCAAGTTTGAGAACTGCTGCTGCACAATCTCGAAACTCAAAGTGTATGCAGAGACCAGCAGCACTGGCATGTCCTGGGAACTGGCTAGAAATTCAGGTTCCCAGGCCCCACCCAGACCTGTGAATCAGGCTCTGCATTGAACCGGGTCCCTGGATGGCAGGGGCACCATAGGGTTTGAGAAACACTGACCTGGTGCTTTCCTGAGCATAGAGCAAAGACAAGGTGTTTCCTAGACTCTTGGAAATAACAATGAAAACGATCAATTATCAGGCACCTAACGCCAAGCCCTTGATAGAACTTGTATAATTCATGTGCTGAACGTGTGTAACTTCCCTGAACTCTCACAATCCTGTAAGGTAGACACACTCGTTAATTCCATTTTACAGAGGAAGAAATGAACCCAGAGGGACTTAAAGGGGTCAGGTGACCTGCTCAGGGTCATACAGCTTGTGAGCGGTGGACACAGAATTACAACCCAAGCCAGAAATGACTAGAAGCACAGAAGCGCCCACTCTCCACCCCGCAGACAGTGTGCCCCGCGATTTGGGAGAAAGGATACACACACAGACACACAGAGCCAAGATGCCTCCTCTTAATTACAGCTGTAGCTGTCGTTGTGTCTGCTAACAAAGGCTGTGGGCTGGGAATGGAATCAATTTAATATGCAAGTGCTGTTCCCAATTAGCACAAATTACCATTTGTCTGAGAGGATAATACTGGGAGCTGGAATCCGCCCAGGGGGTCACAGCACTCTGAGCTCATCAGCCTCATCCCTGCTGCTCCAGCCATAACCTTCCTCCCTGCACCTTCCCTAGACATGGGAGAGGCAGGATGGACCAGGGGAAGAACCTTGGAGGCCTAGGTACAGCCTGGCGCCATGCCTGGTGGGAGCAGCCATTGTTTTTGCCAGCCTCAAGTCAGTTCCCCTCCAAGCACCTGTGTTTTTGGCTAACTCTGCATCAGCCAACACCAGATGCCAGTCTTCAGCTCCACAGGAAAGGGCTGCTCCCTCCTCCCTCCCACTCCTTCCCTGGGGCCTGGAACATTCTCCGGCCTAAAAAACCTAAGAGGGCTTTGATGATGCCATTCAAGTCTACGGTGGCATGGCACCAGAAAAGGCTGAGTAATTGGTAGGTGTACTGTCACCCTCACCTTCAGTTTCTTTTTCTTTCTTTTTTTTTTTGAGACAGTCTTGCTCTGTCCCCCAGGCGGGAATGCAATGGTGTGATGTTGGCTCACTGCAACCTCCACCTCCCAGATTCAAGCGAGCCTCCTACCTCAGCCTCCCGAGGAGCTGGGATTGCAGGCGTCCGCCATCAAGGTTGGCTAATTTTTGTATTTTTAGTAGAGATGGGGTTTCACCATGTTGGCCAGGCTGGTCTCGAACTCCTGACCTCAGGTGATCTGCCCGCCTCAGCCTCTCAAAGTGCTGGGAGTCCAATCTCTCACTTCTGAGAAGCCTGCCCAGCCAGGGAGAGCCTCCTGTGGCTCCCTCTGCTGACACTATTCTCCTTAATAACAGCACAACTGGCTGGGCGAGGTGGTTTACACCTGTAATCCCAGCACTTTGGGAGGCTGAGGCGGGCAGATGATGAGGTCAGGAGTTTGAGACCAGCCTGGCCAACATGGTGAAACCCCATCTCTAATAAAAATACAAAAATTAGCTGGGCACAGTGGCAGGCACCTGTAATCCCAGCTACTTAGGAGGCTGAGACAGGAGAATTGCTTGAACCCAGGAGGCGGAGGTTGCAGTGAGCTGACATCGGACCACTGCACTCCAGCCTGGGCAACAAGAGCAAAACTCTGTCTCAAAAATAATAAAAATAAAATAACAGCACACTGCAACCGCACAGGTCTCCTCTGTTTGCTTACTGTCTGCCCGCAAGAAGGGCAGAGCCCCAGGCTGACTTGCTGAGGGCTGTGTCTTCAGCGCCTGGGTCTGTGCCTGGCATGTGGCACATGCTCAGTAAGTATTTGTGGAATGCCTGAATAAGCAGGGCTCAAGTTCTTCATTGCTAAAATGGGGCCTTGATCCCTCCCCTGAGGGTCACTATGAGCACTGGGGTAACGCAGGTAAAGCATTTGGCATGTCAGGAAGAGAGATTCCAGATTCCCTGCCCTGGCATCCTAAAGATCACTTGTGCATTCAGTAAACACTTATTGAGCACCTAATGTGTGCCAGCTGCTGGGTCCACACACTGCAGAGAAGAAGGGCTAAGGCTGGCCCTTCGGGAAGACAGACTGCATCTGAGGCTGAATTCCCAGGCAGGGTCGGCACCTGATCCCTGCTCTGGCACCTGGGACTCATTCCCTCCCATCTAGCCCCAGGCACTGGGCACTCACAGGCTTCATGATCCAGGTGATTCCTGGGTTTTTGCGAAACTCCTCCACAAACAGGTGGTACTCGGACGGCAACTCAAAGGTTTTGGGGAAGAAGTCGCACTTGGCTGCCTCCAGCTTTCCCGCCTCACGCTCTAGCTGCTTCCGGAACCGCTTCAGGTTCTTCACCATGTAGTTCTTGCGGGTCAGCTGGGCAGCAGGAAGGGCAGGCGGCCATTAGCTCCTGCTCACCACCCCGCTCCCCTCCCAGCCCCACCCATCAACCAGCCACCCTGCAGCCTCCAGGCTCTGGCCCACAAAATAGCAACAGTAAGAGTAACTTTAACCCAGAAAGAGCCTGCTAGTCTAGAATTATCCCCACTTCACAGATGAGAAAACTGGGACTTAGATAGGTTCAGTCAATTGCCCAGAGCAAGGAAGGAGCTGCACTGCCAGGATTTGCCCAGGGCCTGTCTTGACTCCAAAATTCATGCTTTTAACCACTAAACTACACTAATCTTTAAAAATCTCCCACCACTGCCTCCTCCAGTCCTGTTTCTCCTAGATCTGCTTCCCATCTTTAGAACCCAAACTTCTCAACTTGCCTTTACCCTGAAATCACCATAATTGTTCATGCATCCTCTCCCTTCAGACCTTGCACCCCCAAACCAGCTTGATTCTCAAATCTTGGTGCTGAAACTCCAACCCGCCTATGACCTCCAATAATCCTCAGGCCTTAGATCCCTAAGCCCCCAGACCATTTGGCTCTCCACAGGTCCCGCCCGCATGCTCCCCACCCGGCCTTGCAACCCACATTCCAGTACACTTTTCCGTTCTGGTCCTTGTACCCCGAAAACCAGCTCCCGCTCGTGGCCACACCCAGTGACATGAGGTGGTTGGCTCAGTCCTCGCCTGCCTGCCCAGCTCACCTCGTAGTGGTTCCGGAAGTGACTGATCCGAACGTGTTCGTCCATGTAGGTGTGGTCAAAGTTCTCCCGGAGCCAGCTGACATCACACCAGTAGAAATCCCACGCCCCTTCGCTGGGGGGGGGTGGGGATAAAGGTCATTATCTGAGGACCTTGGCACTGCAAGGCCCAGGGAAGTGCTGCTCGGGGGCTTGAGGAAGGTTAGGCAGCAGTGCGTCCCTCTGGAATCTCTTGGAGGTAGCCATGGGTGCTACCGGCCTAAATGTGCTTTGTTAGACCAGAGCAAAAACCATGGAAATGTTCCCACAGAAATCCAGGTGGCTGGCTTCCCTTGAGCTGTCACTGAGCCCAGAGTGCCTCCTGGCACCTACTGGCTGGGCTGAGGAGCCGACACCCCTTTAGATAGGGCACGTCCTCCCCAGACCACAGTCCCGGCTACTCTCTGTGGTGCGATAGCCCCTCGGCCTCAATTGTTCTTATTCAGTCGACACACCTGCAGCCCTCAGTGGAATGAGCTAACGTTTGCAGGCCCCTCCCAGTTAAAGCTCTCCACTCATGAAATCCTCAGAGCAGCCCCCAAAGGTGACTTGGATCATCCCCAGAGCTCTAAAGTGGGATGGCCTTGCTCACTGAGGACATGGCAGCAGCAGGACCCAGAACAAGCTCTGCCAGCTCCAAATTCTGATCCCATTCTCTACCACCATGCCAGGGAGAGGGAGGGGAAACCGGACCAATCTACCAAATCTGGGTGTCAGACCCTGGATGTGGGGAGGAGGTGCTTGAAAAAGATGCCACAGGAAATAAACACCATCATGACTGTTCATAATTTTTTTAAGTAAAAAAGTACAGTCTGGGCACGGTGGCTCACGCCTGTAATCCCAGCAGTTTGGGAGGCTGAGGTGGACAGATCACACAGTCAGGAGATCGAGACCATCCTGGCCAACATGATGAACCCACGTCTCTACTAAAAATACAAAATTAGCTCGGTGTGATGGCACACACAGCTACTTGGGAAGCTTAGGCAGGAGAATCGCTTGAACTCAGGAGGCAGAGGTTGCAGTGAGCTGAGATCACGCCACTGCACTCAAGCCTGGGTGACAGACGGAGATTCTGTCTCAAAGAAAAAGAAAGTACAATATAACTGAAGCCCCCCATCCAACCCTGCCTGATTCTATCTCCTTCTCTCCTGCCATAAAGGAAACCATTAGCCTGAGTTTGGTGTGCTATCATTTCTATTCAGTGGCCTTATAGTGCCATCATGGATATATATGTGTGTGTGTGTGTGTGTGTGTGTGTGTGTGTGTGTGTGCATTCATGCATCATGGCACATAGCATTGTTTGTCATGATTTTAAACTGAATGCCAATACTTATTGCTTACCACATACCAGGCACTGCTCTAAGTACTTCACAAATATTCACTCATGGATCCTTAATGCAACCCGAAGTGTTAGGTTCTGTTATTATGCCCATTTTATGGATGAGAAAATGGAGGCAGGCACACAGAGCAACTCACCTAGTTCACGAATCTAGTAAGTGGCGGAGCAGGATTTGAACACAGGCCCTCGAGCTCCAGAGTCCAACCTCTGTGTTTAGAAATACTCCTGTTTCTTTTCACACATCCTTTTTTCCAGCAAGCTTTTGTTTTGGAGATCAATTCTTTTGATACATAGGAGTCTAATTCAGTCATTCTAACTGCCATTTCCCATTCCATTGGGTGAACATACCACAGTATATCCATTTTCTTATTAAAAGGTGTTTGGGGCTGGGCGTGGTGGCTAACACCTGTAATCCTAGCACTTTGGCAGGCCAAGGCAGAAGCAGCACTTTAGGGCAGGAGTTTGAGAACAGCCTGACCAACATGGTGAAACCCTGTCTCTACTAAAAATACAAAAATTAGCTGGGTGTGGTGGCGAGCACCTGTAATCCCAGCTACTCAGGAGGCTGAGGCAGGAGAGTCACTTGAACCTGGGAGGTGGAGGTGCAGTGAGCCGAGATCACACCATTGTACTCTAGCCCAGGTGACAGAGTGAGACTTCATCTCAGAAATTAATTAATTAATTAAAAATAAAAGGTGTTTGCGGCTGGGTGTGGCAGCTCATGCCTGTAATTCCAGCACTTTGGGAGGCCAAGGCGGACAGATTGCTTGAGCTCAGGAGTTTGAGACCAGCCTGGCCAACATGATAAAACCCCATTTCTACCAAAAATACAAAAAATTAGCCAGGAGTGGTGGTGTGCACCTGTAGTCCCAGCTACTCAGGAGGCTGAGGTGGGAGGATCACTTGAGCAGGGCAGTGGAGGTTGTGGTGAGCCAAGATTGCACCACTGTACTCCAGCCTGGGTGACAGAGTTGAGAACCCATCTCAAAAAAAAAAAAAAAAAGGTGTTTAGTTTGTCTCCCTTACTCCCCACCCCTTTTCTCTATTACAGACAAGTAGGCTGAGTTTTAAAAGACATCTTGAGGAGGTTTGAGACAGAAATAGAGAAAAATGAAGAGACATTACCATCACCTTGGGGTGAGGAATGAACAGGCCCTGAACAGGACCAACGGGGAGGATGCTGAGGCAGACTGTATTTCCAAAAGATGCCTACACCGTATCCCTCACCCAGAGGCTGTGTGTCTGAAGGTCTCCTTGTGAGGCCACAAGAAAAACCCATGAAATCTTCTTCGGGTGTCTGCCCTAGTGAGATCCCTGCAGACAGCTAGCACCAACTGCTGCACCTGTGAGTCAGATGCCCTCAGACAACTCCTGCCATCAAGTGACCTCTGGATCTGGGCTCTTCCCAGCTGATGCTCCCAGTGTTATAGACAGGCCAGTCCCGCTGTGTCCTGCAAGAGTCCCTGACTCACAGGAGCCCTGTGCCTAATGCAATGCTGTCTTAAGCAGCTAAGTTTTGGGATTTGTTACACAGCCATAGCAACTGGAACAATGGCCAAGCAGTTGGGCCTTGTGTTGTAAATGGGGCTCCCTCTAGAACTTTTTTTTTTTGGAGATGGAGTTTCCCTCTTGTTGCCGAGGCTGGAGTGCAATGGCGCAATCTTGGCTCACCACAACCTCTGCCTCCCAGGTTCAACCAATTCTCCTGCCTCAGCCTCCCAAGCAGCTGGGATTACAGGCATGTGCTACCATGCCTGGCTAATTTTGTAATTTTTTTAGTAGAGATGGGGTTTCTCCATATTGGCCAGGCTGGTCTTGAACTTCTGACCTCAGGTTATCCACCCGCCTCAGCATCCCGAAGTGTTGGGATTACAGGCATGAGCCACTGCACCCGGCTCCCTTTGGAATTTTCAAAGAACTAAAGATATAAATTGCTTCTCCTTGTGGCTGCTGGGTTGGTGTTTCTCCTGAATGTCACACCATGTGCAGAGAGGGTTTAAGGCAGGCAGGCCCAGCTTTTCACTGAGCTCAGAGATGTCCAGAGATGTTCATCTGTGCACACACCGTGAACAGATGTGGTGACGTGACGCACCGTAACAGAATGACACTAGAACCAGAAATCTACGGTTTCCAAATTTTGAAAATCTGGGGCCTGGTCCTTCTCCAAACCTCCCTTGTGGCTTTTGCCCCAGGCACAGTGGTTCTGAAGAACAGTTTCAAGAACTGATGGAAACCTACTGGAGAAATGGCCAGGTGCTGGCCAGGTGTGGTGGCTCATGTCTGTAATCCCAGCACTTTGGAGGGGCCCAGGCGGGTGGATCAC